TTATTCAGATGATGATTACATCGAAATTCTTTAAAAATTATCAGATCAGTATAATCAATCACCTTTATCTTCATTTTTTCTATACAAAAACACTTTTGCGTCCTTTAACTTCTACAATGCCTATTCCAAAACCTCCGCCTCGCATTTTTTTTTTAATAAATGATTCCATCTGAGAAATATGAAGTGGATGAAGCCTATAAAGATACATTTAAGCCCTTTTCGTAATTTAATACCGGAGAATGCTTTTGAATGAAATCTAGGTTAAGTGATTGATTAAGAAATTTGAATTTAAGTTATGGTTAAGAATTAGCCGTGTGATAGAGAGGTGCGGATTTAGTGTTAGAGTTAGTGTGTGTTAAAGATAGTCTTGAAGTTGTGTTAGAAGGAGGTATAGTGGAGTAGGATTAGGGATTAGTTGTTATGGTTCATTTGAAATTTTGGAATTCCAAATATTATGCTGTGTTGGTTGTAAAGAAATCAATTGCCAAACATTTTTTATCGTCAAAATGTTCTAATTAAAATAATAAAATTATAATAAAATATGTTGAGTCACATGATCTGATATTACATCATCGGGGTATAAAGAAAAGCCATCGATCGAGAATGTAACAGTAAAAATAATAATTTATTTTCACATAGATACATATGCATATCTAAATAAATCCAGAATTTTTTTTTGGGAATCATCATCACAATTTAAGAATTGGTACTAACCTTTATTCCCTAACATAAACCATAAAATACATTATGTTAAACATAGATTTCGATAACTATATTCTTTTACGCTATCCCAATCGCGAATAAAATTAAATGTGATATACTTCTGTTGGAATACCCTCTTCAATAAAAGCTTGAAGCTCAAATGTTATAGATCCATTGAAGTTCTTCAAACATCAAATCGTGATGATTGACATCAGATCCAACGGATACCACAATCCATATATTAGGTAGGATTCCTTTTGTTTTAAATAAAAAAAAATTATCAATTGTTGTAACATTTGATTATTAACAGTATGTTCATGGTTATCCTGTTTACTTATCGCGAAATGTTTTCATTTGTGTTTCATAAAGGTTTCTTTTGGATTAAAAAAATGCAATTACCAAGTCAAATTATGGCTATAAACGAATAATAAGATTAGATAAAAGAAACATGGACATTAAATATAATAAATTAAATTTGGAAAAAAAAATTTTACCATGTGTTGTAAAATGATACAACGAAACTTGTCTTCATTACTCTCGATAATTTTTTAATTACATCTTATTCAAGAAATTATAATTTAACATAAAACCTTCAATAATACTAAAGAAGACAAAGCGATTATATACAGTATATATATATTAAAAAGAACATAAAAATGAGATTTCTTACATCCATCATTTGACCTTAAAATTTCAATCAAGGAGGGAGGGCAAGATCAAAAGCTCATACCTTAATACCCCTTAACAAATGACCGTCTTAAAAGATTGATATGAAGCATTAAGTCCTTGAAGAGGTAAGTAATTGATATTAATTTCATCTAGATAGAGATCTTTTCGTGATTTTGATGTAAGTGATGAAGTGGTGATTGTCGTTATATTTCTGAATGAATAACAGTAACGACTATCATCAATTTAAAAGTTCATCAAAATCGTATAACCATGGAAATTCTGTATAAACACCATCTGCAAAGTACACATCCTCGTTTAATTGTTTTGAAGGAGTAGCCAAAGGGAGAACTTGAAACATTCTTCCTCTTGTGGGGTGAATACGAAAAAAAAAAAAAAAAAAAAATTTTAAATCTTCTTCATTAAAATGTAATACAAATATAAAAATCAGAAAATTCATATTCTTACCAATACAATTTTTTTTGTGATCAAATAATTTTAACTAGGAATATACATTTAAAATAATAGCATTAAAATAAAAGTAATAAATCAAATTACACATTAAGATTTTAATAATAATTATAAACTTCATACCTCCCCTTCCAATAATTTCTTTTGTAGTTTTTTTTAAAAAGAGGGGGAGTATTTTTTTTTCAATTAATCGACCTCTTCCAATTTATGAGAGGAGACATTTCATTTGAAACTTTCAAAATGAAAATCAAAGGTTTAGATTATCAAAACATGTTCTGAAAACAGTTTTTGTCACGTGTTGATGTACGCGTCATCAAGTACTTGTCGTACACCAGGATGCTGGTGAAGGAAAGTTCTCGAAAATCGACAATCGACAAAATTTATTTTTTTAATTACATAGAAATAGTAAACCCGCTATCGTTATTTTTTTATTTAGTAAAGTAAGTAAGTTAGTTAATTAAAGTAAAGAGATCAACGTACATCAAAATAGCTGTAGCTAAATAAAGTAATCTTTTAACAAAAAGGAAGGAACTACCGGAAAAAAATAAAATTAATCCGAACATATCTCATCCTGAAAATCATCTGAAGTATCTTTTCTGTCCGCACTCCGTTGTTTTTGTTAACATTTCAGCTTTAGAATTCCTGTAAATTTGTAAAGCAATTAGCACGCAAAATGTTATTAAATTATGATTCAAACTTGCAAGTTTTCATTAATCAAATTGATCAAATAACTCATTTTGAAGCCTCGTATGATCAAAAAAATATAGATAGTGAATGAGCATGATGATGCACCTGGAACCGGAACTGCATAATTGTCGAGGCTGTCCTAAATCAGAATGTTGTATAAATTCCCTGACCAGTCAAGTGCTTATGATATGATATGTCCGCCAATGGCTTGATTTATTCTATGAAAGGAAAGGAGGACTTTGATGAATACAAGATCCTGACAATAACCATTATCAAACGGCAATTCTCACGTATCCTTCTCCAAAACTTCAAGGACTTTATGTAAACAATCAATCGTTGAACATATTTTCTAATTTGTAAATACCGTATAATAATTTTGAAGGATGGAAATTCCAACCCCAATGGTGGAATTTCTGGAACACGTTTTTAGTAAAAAATTTTCTTTTTTTTTCACATGAGAGAACTTGTGGAATTATTATCGTCAGATGATACCATAAAAAAAGGAACTTTTAGACATTTGATAACAATCTTGAATATTTTAGATAATTAAACTATAATTGGCAATGAAGAATCACGATATTTTAGCCATTATACTGTATATAAAATCCATGCAGGTCTCGGCAAACAATCAGGTATTTGAATGTTTTGCTTTGGACTGGGATCAAAAAATCAAAAAAGGTTTTATTTATTTCAAGAATAATAGTATTTTTCAAACGGAGAGTTTCACAAATTATTACAATTGTTTCACTTGGATTACTAAGATTCTATTTTTTTTTTTTTTTGTTTGAAACAGTTGTAAAATTACATCTAAATGTATTCGTAACGGGTGATATTTGTCATTGAATCTAATCAAGATAAAGGGTAAAAAATTCCTTTCTCAAGTGACTCACGATTTTTTGATTTGACATACATTTACAGTATACATATCTTTCAAATATACATAAAAAAAAATACTTTATAGTAGAACAAAAACCAGTCAGGTGGAGTAGTTGGGGGTCGGTAATTACATATACCATTGATTATCTATTACGAGGAGTGCTTTATTGTTTTGATATATTCCCCAAAATGTATAAATTTCTCTCAAAAAAACAAATGGTATCAAAAGCTATTGCATGTTCAATATGCACTACTTCGTATTAATGTAATACCTGAATCTGAGAATCAACTTTGTTAGGAATTGGATTACGGATTTCGGATTCTTAGACCGATAGATTGATAAACGTTCTAAAACGTGAAACAATATCACTAAAACAGCGGTGTCCTTGTGATCCACTCATTATCAAAAAAACAGATGTATTTTTTATTATACAAGTGTTTGGGACAATGATTTGAATTTTTTTTTATTGTTTTAAAAGTTAAAATTATAAATTGCTGATATATATGTATTATATTAAAAAAAATATATATGCGAAACGTCATTTGTCCAAGAGGAAATGATGAACGCATCTTTTTGACAATTTCCTTGATATAAAAGGCTGAACAGAATCCTCTCAGACCTCATCCGCTCTTTGACATTGGTTACAAAGTGTGCGTTTATTTTTTTATTTTTTTTTTTTTAAATTTCGTTATATTATTTTTCTCGAAATCGTAAAATAATAATCATATATTGCTTCTATTCTTTAGGTCATACATTAATTGAAATTTAAACTACAAACAAAATGTAGTCTGTGAAATTCTACGGCTATGGAAGGAACTTTCGACCCTCCAGAACCGAAAACAAAATTGTAACCTCACGTTTTATCGAAATGATTGTTTCAACCTACTACTACTTTTTTTTTTTTTTTCCTCGTAAAAAATTTATAACGATTTCGATGCGAAAAACCTTTGCATTTTTACTCGATTTTTTTTTTTCCTTTCGAATGTCTCATCGAGGATTCCCTTAATCGAAATTTTCTAAAAATTCATTTTTTATAATTTCATATTCACCGCACACACTTTCGGATAATTCAATGAAGCATATAAAATTACTTATTAACTTACAAAACTTACAAAACGTGTACAAAAATTAAACTTATTGTATCCAAATATAATAAAAAAAAAATACACTATGCTTATGATATATTTTTTATCATATATTATTATGAAAATTTTGTATAATTAACCAGTAAAATGTCGTACAATTTTATCACGTAATTTCAAAAGTAAATAATTCAAATGATTTTTTTTCGTAAGACATTAATGCTCCATAAATTTTGTGATGCTTAAACTTTAAATTCCGACATTCTGAGGCATGGTTTTTATTATTTTAAAATTTTAAATTTACATACAGCATAAAACATTAAATATTTAAAGCGGTATTACAAATTTTATATGTATTATTTCAGCTTGAAAACTACTTTAAAAAACCAAGTAATAAATGTATTATTCAGAACACGATATATTTAGAAATATTATATAAATTTTTTTTTCAGTCCATTATTTATAAGTGGTAATTATAATTAATAATAATAAAAATGTAATATTATATATTGGAGCTATTGATGATTAAGAGAATATAAATTATTCAACTTATTTTTTTTTTTAAGAGTGACGTTATCGCCAGGAATAGTACGAACGGTTCGGATTACCGGAACCAATAATGTAGTAATAGGGATTTGGTTCAATGCAGGAAGTCGATGATGATGGTTGAAATATGGATGATGAAAATTACGATGGTGGCTGTAATTACTGATGCTTCTGACACGCTGAGTTGTCTGAGAAATTATTGAGGGAGAGGGAGAATGTTGTGGAAAATAATAAGAAATATTCTGAGAAATATTCATGGTAATATTCTGTGAAACGTTTTGGGAAACATGGGGGACGTTCGGAACATTCTGGGGATTATTTATGATACCGAGCGTTTTTATTGAAGGAAGTGCTTGGTTATGGTTTTTTGTGGAATTTCGTTCAATGATTGGCGGAAGGATCGGAACATCATCTATGTTTGGTATGTTTGGAATGCGGTTTTTTACAGGGAGAGGAGGAAGGTGACGTATGTTATTGT